TTCCTGCTTTGGTGGGATGTATGGAGTGTGTTTGTGAAATAAGTTTGGTGACCGCGCGGTTTTCTGCGGTTAACTCACACTCATACTGAATCTGAAGAAATCTTAAACTCACATCGTAGAGAGACGTTTCCAGCCCACGTTGCCTATTTCAGGTTGAGGAATGGGCAGGAGCTTCTGCCTCCGCGCCACTTCCGAGCGAGTCGTCCATCACACCGACGAATAATATTGTTGCTCCACTTCAAACGGAAATCGCTCAGCTGTCATTGGGAAAGACACTAGCTGTCAATGATGATATGAAATCTCAGACTGAAGGGACATTGAAATGGTGCCAGCAGCTGAAAGAACAGGTATGGGAGGATTCATCCGCTTTTCATTTGTGCTGTAAACGATCCCTTGTATTCCCAACCTTCATTGCCTATTCCTGTAGAAGTCTGTAGTTTCGTTAAACTCGTAACAGAGTTCTGCCGTTCGAGGTTTGTAGGAGGAACAGTTTGCGACGACGTCTTCTTCAGAGGTTGCAGTCCCACAGTAAACTGTTCCCTAAGAACCTCGAATGGCAGAACATCTTTTACAGCTCTAATGATCTAAACAAATATGCCAAACCTGCTAAGAAAGATGACCGGTTTCAACTCAGCCAACAATATGCACACCCTCCTTTTAACTTCAAGCTTCCATTTTCTGAATCATGTTATTCTAAATCTTCGCACCACAAATAGTTTTATGGAGTATACTGAAGTAATTTTTCCTGTACAGGTTACGGTTATGGAGAATCGAATCCGGTCAAACAATGCAAGAGGTCGATCCGTTCTGAACGATACGGCCATACAGGGACTATTCTCCACACTGACTGAGTTCCACTCCCAAGTTTTGGGTGCTCTAACTAAGCTGGATGAGGAAAGAAGTACGTTTGTGGAGCTCCAGTTCTGCATGCTTTTCCAGAACATCCTTTTTACAAAGGGACGTTCAGATTACTACGAATCGCTGCAAGACCATCTGGGTCACATTAGTGAAGCTCGTTTGGCGATAGATGAACTACGCGCGGAACATAGTCGTCGACAACAGGAACGACTCGCCGAAGAACAGAGACAGCGACAAGCGCAGATGAAACAGACGTTGGAAATGATGCGTATGAAAAAGCATGTGAGAATTTTTCACACTGAGCGACTCTTTCGGTCGTGATAGAAACTATATTTTCGTCCCGATATTTCCATGATCCGCTGTTACAACTGGGATCTTCGAGAACAATTTTTAGAACTTTGTTCATAGGGTATGTCCAATGCTGTGTCTATTAAGATGGAAAGTGACGCCATTAGGCGTCAACCTCCTAGCGTCTCACCAAGTACGACACATTGTAGCTTACTAAAGTTACTTCGCCTACTTAGTATGGATCGACATTCATTTTGGCATCATTTGGTTCCAAGTTGGTCCCAAATTCATGACACTGAAAATCATTGTTGGCTGCGGATGAAAGGGCGTGTCAGGCTGAGTGTGTCACGGCGCTAAACCCGTTCTCTGCGAGTTGTTAAAGGGGGTATGCGGCAACAACGATAGAAAACGGCTCATACGAGCAATGGGATACAGTCTTGTCTCTTGCTCACTTCAAGAGCTGGTGGAGAAAGGATTTGGCATCACGCTAGACTTATTTCGCCTGACGCGCCCCTTCGTCCGCAGCGAATTAGACCATAAGAGACCTTCGCTTACTTGCGTGGGCTTTTTTTCTAGCTAATTTGCTGGAAAACTTTTGTGCGTGAAGCGCTGGCACTTCCAGAAATGTATGAATGTTGGTGATAACGGTACTACTCAATGTCTTCAGTTCCCCCACCTTTTTTTTAAGATTTGTGAGTCGTAGTAGTTGGTTAGTTACTAATTATCAGGTGATGTTAATGGAGCAGCGCAATGTTGCTTTACAACGATTCCAGCACCAGGAAATGCAAGCAAGGCGAGGGCAGGTGAGGTCTTGAGCTCGAATCTTGAGTCTCTCTGTTCTGATCTTGTATTCTGATAATCCGATGCTCTCGTCTAGATGGCACCAGGCGCCTACTATCCTAACTATGGGCCACAACAGCCAGCACCGCCTCAAGCTGGATATCCAGGTAAATTGCTTGTTTCCACTGATTGTAGAGTTACCACTGGATGTGTTTTGTTCCAGCTAACTATGGCATGCCTGCTTATCAGGGTTATGCTCAACAGCAGTTTGCTCAGCCTCACACGGGGTATCAACAGTATCCTAATGCTGCGATCCCAGCTGCAAACCAATGGCCCGATCCAGCAATGCAAGTTCAGCAAAGTGAGTGGTTTGTTTTCTGACCAGCTTTCATTGATCCATGATGTTTTAGCTTCCTACTCGGCTCCTGCTTCCCATGCGCAACAACAGCCACCCCTTACAAATGGATCCCAGGTGCCCCAACAACCACAGGCTCATCCTCAGCAAGGTTACTACGCACCCGTCCCAACATCGGCTCAGGCACCATATCAACAGGTAATGATAGTGCGATTTGTCTTTGATTTGCGGCGATTAAGTGGAGTGTGGTGCGAACCACTTTCATAGCATTTTTATGTGTCCAAGGTGAGAGAAACGAATCCCAACACGTACTGTATGTTCGTGCCACATATGGTAATGTTATCTGCAAACGATAGGGAGTGTGAACGGCTGTGAGTTGAAGCGCAGCCAGAACTGCCTTTGCCGCCAATCGTTGCGCCAGCATCGGATGGCATATTTGCTGGAAAACACACCTCTGGCAGCGCTTCAAACATCCCTCTCCCGCTCCATCGGCTGCATGGATGACTATTGCTCTCTTTGTACCATTTTCACTTTAAATTCATCCCTTTTCAAACCAAATTCACCACTTTTCAAACCAAATTCACCCCTTTTCAAACCAAATTCACCACTTTTCAAATCAAATTAACCACACTTATTAGGGCGGGCAACTCATCAACCAGATCACGCCAGACACCACTGCAAGCCCCGACGGCCACGCCTACTTGTCAGCGCGGACATAGATTTTCAAATCTTGTTTCATAACTTCTGCTTATGTGACTTTTCTTATCTTTTGCTGTTTCCCACAAACACTTTGACTGAAAACGACTGGACATCGACACATGGCCGACTCCGCCCATTCTCTAAAATGTTTGGCAATCTAGGCTCCGCCCCTTGACCACGCCCGCTTGCTTTTCGCGGAATTTTGGTATTTCTTTAGATTTTTGCATTTTTTGGGCTGCTGCGTGAAGCCCCGCCCACTGTGAGAGCTCCGCCCACTTTGAATAAGCCCCGCCCACTTTTCAAAAATGGTGCAATCGGCAGTATAGAGTCTTGGCTGGCATGCTAGGGTATTGTCATTCGGAACAAACTTTATTTGATTTTCTTGTGCCAAACCCTTCAGAGAATGAGCGGAGTGGTCATGTGTCGATGTCCAGTCGTTTTCAGTCAAAGTGTTTGTGGGAAACAGCAAAAGATAAGAAAAGTCACATAAGCAGAAGTTATGAAACAAGATTTGAAAATCTATGTCCGCGCTGACAAGTAGGCGGGCGGGGCTTGCAGTGGTGTCTGGCGTGATCTGGTTGATGAGTTGCCCGCCCTAATAAGTGTTAATTTGATTTGAAAAGTGAGGGTGAATTTGGTTTGAAAAGGGTGAATTTGGTTTGAAAAGGGTGAATTTGGTTTGAGGGGTGAACTTGAAGTGAAAATGGTATATTTCCCGCAGCTGCTTGGGCTGGGAAGAAGTGATTGTAATGGTAATATGACCATAGTCTTTTTTTTGTAAAAAAAGTATTTCAGCAACCGATAGATGCAGCGCAACAACCACCGCCATCACAAAATGCTGCTCCTGTGCCATACGTGAACAACACACCCCAACAACAGATGCAAATGCAGCAATATCCAGTGAATCCTCATGCCGGTTACCATATACAACATCCCGTAAACGGTGACCAATCCTTCTCAGCCCATAGATTTTCAAGGTGATGTATCAGTAAAAATTTGATCTTTTTTCAGGCACGGAGAACGCTGCTCCTGCTCAACAGGAAATCGCTGAGCAGCCTCTTATTTCCTTTGACTGATCGTTGCAAGCAGATTGCAATTAA